TTTGTACTGATCTACAACAAGTTCTTGCCTCGGTGGTGAAGAAAATAATAGACAAAAGGTTAATATAATGGAGAATCATTGATTACAATGTGTCATAATTATCCTCAACTGCCAAAACCCAATTGGATTGAGCAAAAAAGAGCTCGTAATTATGGGGAATACTAGGACCATAACGTGTTTATGTCCTACTGTAACGACCCACGCCCACTGCTTGCAGATATCGTCCTCTTTAGGCATTCAAAACGCGTCTGCTAGGGAGAGGTTTCTACACCCTCATAAAGAATGCTTCTGTGAGATCTCACGTCAGTTGGAGGAGAACGAAATATTCTTTATAAGAATGTGGAAACCTCTCCCTAGTAGACACGTTTTAAAAACCTTGAGGGAAACCATGAAAGAGGAAGCTCAAAAAGGACAATATCTGCTAGTGGTGGGTTAGACTGTTACAAATGGTATCAGAGCCAAGCACCGAGTGATGTGTCAACGAGGAGGTTGAGCCCAAAAGGGGGTGGACACGAGGCGGTGTGCCTGCAAGGACACTGGCCCCACCACATCGATTGGAGAAGGGAAGGAGTGTCAGCGTGGGCTTGGAGAGTAACTTCGAAAGGGAAAGCCCAAAGAGGACAATATTTGTTAGCGGGACAATATCTGTTAGCGGAGGGCTTGGGTTGTTATAGCTTCTTCTCCTCTCCAACCGATGTGGAATCTCACAATCCATCCCCCTTTGGGGCCCAGCGTCCTCGCTGGCACTCGTTCCTCTCTCCAATCAACGTGGGATCTCACAATCCACCCCCCTTCGAGGCTTAGTGTCCTCACTAGCACACCGCTCGATGTCTGGCTCTGATACCATGTGTAACCTACTAAAAACTATTACCTACTAAATAGCCCCATAACGTGGTATAGACGACCCATGTCACCCATTTATCAGAGAAAAACAATACAATTCATTGCAGACATAATTGATACCCCAATAGTCCCAAATTTATGGCCAACATTAATCATCACATGCTCTTCAATATTCACTCTTAGATGAGTTCATAGGAGTAGAAACGCACCGTCCAGATAAGACTCGGTCCATATCTCGTAACTCCGCTTCAAGGAAACGATGGCCAAGCATAAACTTCTCATTCTGGTATGAATCTTTATTGCCTGCAAACACCACAAGTCTTCTAAATCAGTATTCTAATACGTCTTGGATGACCCCCTCCAAGGTTCATAATGAAAGAACAAGGATATCATACCAGTTCGCAATAGAAATGGAGATAGCCCCATTTTGTTGTATGTATTATCATCACGAAAGTGAAGACCAACCAAAAGACTGTAATCCATGATGCCTTCAGATTCCAAGAACTTGCAGTCTCGATCGATTTGTCTGACCAAAAGTTCGATAATAATAAGGTTTCCATAAGCATAGCGTAACGAAAACGAAAGAGCTTATAACACTTACTTCATAAAGTCACTAAACCAGTTGGATTGAAGGCGAAACACGAAATTTAGATCAAGATCCTTCAAAGTTGTGGTTTCGTCGATCTCTCCCTCAGGAGTACCCGTTGTCCGGCCATGGGATGATCCTTTCAAGTCGAATCGCCGATGGATTCGATATTCCGAGCAGAATAAGTTGCCCATCACAACGAACCGAGTCTAGTTCCCACAAGAACAGATTAGATATCATTGTGAATTCTTGAAGAACATGTAATGAATCTAAATAACATAACACTCTTGATGATGTTTACCTTTTGCCCACCTGTTGGCTTGATGCAATGTATACCAAAAAACTTTGTCACAAGTGAATCTTGATAGCGGGAGACATGCTGATAATAGCTTGCAAGCATCCTGATAAGCACCTGAGTATGCCAGAAGTGTATAGCATTATGCAAGTGGCACTTGTAACAAGATGAACAATTCAAGGAAGCAACTAACCTTTGCTTCAGATTTCTTCACTGTTTTTATCATGAATCTATCATCCTGTGTGAGATAAAAGAAGCTCCCACTCTTTCCTGGCGATGAAAACTCCCTGAGGGCATCATTCCCACAAATTGCTAGCATATAATCAGCAGGATCGACATCGAACAGCTCCCGCAAGCATCTGTGAAGATCAATTAGAAACATGGATCACAAGAACTCATAGCAGAATATCAGGATTCAGAGAAGTAATGGTTACCTGAACACCACAGGGCAGTAGTCCTTCCAACGAAACTCGACTGACGTGTGGGGTGGTGTCGTTTTCGACCCTTCGGTTGGGAACCTCGTCCAGAATTTCTCCCTTGGATCAAAGTCACTGGACTTCAGCTCACGCACCACTGAAGAATGCTTTCCAACGGAATGTCTAAAGAACATAACAACATGGTGATATCAGAATCCACAGTAAATGTCTAAAGAACACGACCTGTTTCATGAACCTACCTGATACCCAACTGGAGATTAAGCATCAGTTCATAATTCTTGTGTCCTTTAGAAATGGTCTGGCCTGGTTTCTTGGCCTCGCCGGAGAAGCAGCAGGGGCTCCTCCTAAACTGCCTGAAAAGATCACGATCCCTGTACAACATCGACGCCTCTACATGATCAATGATTTCACAGGTGATATCTCCGGCTTCACCATCGGATTCCCATATGCAAATTCTAGGGAAATTCCTCTCTGTTACACTCCCTCTTGCTATATCCACCGATGATCTCTTCCGTAATGTGATGGTCAAGTTCTTATTCCAGCTACTGTCGGCACAAATGAAACTCCCGTTCCCTTTAGAAACTCCGTTGTCCCATTGTCCATCGTAGCGATTCCCGTTCGCCCATGTTAAAACACCCCGACCAGAAATCACGCCGTTCTTCCACTCGCCGACATACTCGTTTCCGTTCTTCCAAACGTATCGGCCATGGCCGTCTTGGAGATTTTTCCTCCAACTCCCTTCGTAGAAATCGCCGTTCGTATACCGTTTCTTCCCTAATCCATGTTTCCGATCTGAACTCCACGATCCACGATACGAATCTCCGTCAGATCCAATAAAAGTACCGATTCCCTCCATCAAACCCGATTTGAATTCGCCGTCGTAGGTAGCTCCAGAAGGCCAAGAAAATTTCCCTTTCCCCGACGCCTTTCCTCTCCGCCACTCACCCTCGTACATACACCCGTCCGCCCACAAATACTTCCCCAATCCGTGCGGAACTCCCCCCGAGAAACTCCCCGTGTAACGATCTCCGTTCGGCAGATGCTTCTCCACGACGGTCGCCGACCTAGTAGTCGTCGCTGTAGATTGCGTTGTTATAATGGTGGTCGGAGTAACCCTTCTATTCCCAACTTGAGAACGATTCCGACCAACGATTACAACAGGCGGAGCAACAATCAACTTCCGGGTGTCGTTGTCTCGCATTTTCCCTCCTCCCCTTCACTCTCTCCAGCAATCAGCGCTGCATTTCATCACCTGAGTAACCAGTTTTGAATCTACCTGGCCGTATTTCAGTCGCTTCAAGAGCATCTCCGGCGAATATATCTGAAAATCTGACGGAATCCAACACGCTCTCATTCAAGCTTCGTCTCCATCTTCATACCCAAAATAGAAAGCGCAGAAACTGTAGAAATTTTCAATTCGACGGCTCTGCCTAGGGAACATTGTTAACGATCCAATCCCGAGTTATGAACTCATTTAATTAAATTCTTTAAAAAAAAAAAAAAAAATTAATGACATTTATTATTATTTTTCATTAATTTCTCAAATTTCCAACCATACTGTCTCTATTTTTATTCCCTTCTTCCTAAGCTCCCATCGTGACGTGACGGAATCGCCTAGGATCGGCTTCAGCGCCGCGCCATCAGATTTCTTATGTCTAATTACATCTTTAACCTCCTTTCCTTCTTTATTTACCTAAATGCCATTTCCCATTCTTTCTCTATTTAACCCCATTTTTTTAAATTATAAATTAATTTTTAAAGTGGGAAATTGGATTAAAAGTTTATTTTTTTTTCTAACTTTATTCTCTGGACGGTGTTGAATATAGAGATTCCCTTTAAGAAAATATGGTTTTTTTATTTTATTTTTCCAAAAAATAATTAATTAAATTCACTTAGAGCGTGAAGCTTGAACTTGACATTGACTTAAGCATCGAAACGCCGACGGTCGAGTACCACGTTGGTGGAAGATTCTTTTAATATATCATCGTCTCTCGTGGATTGAAATTTGCTTTGAATCTGTTATCAACGAGCTACCTCAATTGAAACCGTGCAATTACACTTATGGTCGTAACCATTAAACCTCTAATTTTTTTTTTTAATTTTGTTGATGTGGGTTTGTGTGGGAATATTTTGGTGCCATGGATTGTGCAAGATGAATCATCAAAGGCAAAGAACATGAGCAAATGTGGTGTTGGCCCACTTTCACTTTGTGGCCCATTTGAAGTAGTGGATGGCCCTATTGCACTTCTTTCTTGGTTTTCGCACTTGCCCCGACGACCGGTCGGGTATAAGTCTCGCTCTTCCGTACATCCATTTTTGGGGTTAGTTGCTTCGGCAGGTTAGTACATTTCCACTTTTATGACTACCGTTCGGCTGTCTTAATCGACTAATACCTTTTGTGGGATCTAGGTTAACACGTAGTTACTCACGGTAACCCTGCTTCCGGTTCATCCTGCATTGCCGATTCTACTTACCAAAAATGACCCACTTAGCATATTCGTCCAAAACCCTTTTACTTCATGTCAAAGGATGCGACTAACCGTCAATTCTTCCTATTCGAGTTATATTTTGTCAATGTCGTTTCTCAAAACCTTCTCTAACCTATTTTCTACGAACAGGGTTAGAAGCTTTTGGCTAACTTAATCAAGTTACGAGTCTCAAATGAGTACGATTGTTAGAGCTGATGGGTGTGACGTGATTTGGTATCAATAACCAACCATTGCCTAATCTACTACTTGCGTCATCCTATCAAAACCCAGACATTGACGTTCGAGAATGTAGGTCGGTCAGTCAAAGTCAACAACTTTATCCAAATACGACTTTGATAGCATACATACCATTACAAGGATTCAATCGCATTATTTCAAGCTTCAAGCTTCCAAGCTTTGTGAAATGTTTTAGCTTTAAAATGTACATATTTCCAGACATGCCTCTGGCTATATACAGTTATCATCAAGAACACTTCAACAAAGAAAGGGGGAGGTTTAGTTTCAAGCTCACTCAAGAACAAACTAAGAAATCATTACCTTTCATTTTCGACGTTAACTTGCTTCTTCATCCGACCTACCAAGATAGCAACGACGTCTATCTACACCGAGCAAAATTTAGAGCAATGGAGGGGTAATCCTATCGCTATCTCACGGATTCGAAGAGCTGATCGAGCATATACTTGTTATCTGTGGTGTTTGTGTTGTGGGGTTTTTGCAGACATCTGCATTCGGGTAAAGGGTACGTATAGACAGACGTTTTTCGGTTGAATCGTCTGATTCGAGGTACCATCAGCCCCTTTCGATCGCTCTCCGCAAGCATTACCCCCATGTGTTCCTTGAATTCTCTCCAGCTGTAAGATCAACATGATATGAAGTCATCTTTTCAGTGATCAGTGTCAATACACAGTCATAAAGCTCATGGATGAGTACCTCAATTTTATTCTATCATCCATTAAAATGGCTAGCTTTCGTTTATCGGGTTTGATCGTCTTGGCGTGCCCGTCGTAAAGGAACCGCCTGTTCCCCATTAGAAAGTGTGGGAAGTTACCTCCTTGAGTCGTTACGAAGACCTCGCTTAACAAGCATACCATGTAATCCAGAGCAGCCATTCTTGAAGAATATTCCTGTCAATGAAAATTATGCTAACTATTAGTACTTTGCACGGATGAATTATCGAATAAAAGTAATTTGTTGCGATGTTCGTATAAATTATGGCCTCGCTTCCTAACACGTTTGAGGATTTTAGTTTCGAACTTATAAGAGCTTTTGAGCTGAATTGAGGAAGATGGCGAAGTAAGCAAACATAGTAGACATTGTCCGCTTTGGTCCGTTACGTATAGCCATCAACCTCACGGTTTTAAAAAGCGTCTACTAAGGAGAGGCTTCCACACCCTTATAAGGAATGCTTCGTTCCCCTCTCCGACCCATGTGGGATCTCACAATCCTCCCCCCCCTTGAGGGCCCAACGTCCTCGCTGGCACACCTCTCGGTGTCTGGCTCTTATACCATTTGTAACAACTCAAACCCACCACTAGTAGATATTGTCCACTTTTGCTCATTACGTATTGTCATCAGCCTAACGGTTTTAAAACGTGTCTACTAGGGAGAGGTTACTACACTCTTATAAGGAATGCTTCCTTTCCCTCTCCAACCAACGTGGGATTTCACAATCCTCCCCCTTGGGGGCCCAGTGTCCTCACTGGCACACCGCCCAGTGTCTGGCTCTGATAACATTTGTAAAAGCTCAAGCCGATGTGGGATCTCACAATCCTCCCCCCCCCCCTCGGGGCCTAGTGTCCTCGCTGGCACACCGCCCAGTGTCTGGCTCTGATAACATTTGTAAAAGCTCAAGCTCACGGCTAGTAGATATTGTCCACTTTGGCCCATTAAGATTCATCGTGAGCCTCAAGGTTTTAAAACGCGTCTACTAGGGAGAGGTTTCCACACCCTTATAAAAAAAATGTTTCTTTCTCCTCTCCAACCAATGTGGGGATCTCACAATCCTTCCTCCTTGAGGACCCAGCATCCTTGCCGGTACTGATACCATTTGTAATAGCCCGAACCCACCGCTAGTAGATATTGTCCGCTTTGGCCCGATACGTAGCATCGTCAACCTCACGGTTTTAAAATGCATCTACTATGGAGAGGTTTCCACACCCTTATAAGGAATGCTTCGTTCCTTCCCCAACCAATGTGAGATCTCACAATCTTACAGAAATAGATAAACGGTTTATCAGGCAGTCACGGATTTACTAAAATCTTATAGAGCCACAAGGATTGAAACAATAAACTTACCATAAAAGGAGCAAGTTCATCTGGGGTTGTAAGTGATTCCTTTGTATGCAAGAGAGGAAACATCTCCTGTAATGGAGCTAAATATCTCTCTGGTTTGTATAACTTACCCGAAGCCAAATAAATCGACGTGTTATTATCGAATCCCATACCGCGCAACATCATTCCAACCTAACACAAAGAACAACGTTCAAAAAGTAAAACATGCGGAAATTGGTTTAAAGGATACAACTTTTGCACAAAGAGAACAAAACGAATCATTCTAGGTACCTCCAACGGGGTTAACGGGCACTTTCCATTAACTCGGTTAAGACTAGGCGAAATAAGATGTTCTTTGAGTTTGAACTTTTTCCTCCATCCTCTCTCTCGAATCGAATCCATATCGACTTTTTCAGCTTCACCTCCATCATATACACAACACGAGAAAGCTACCATGTCCTAAAGTTCAGATGCGAGATATGAAATCGTTATCAAATGGGGTATGAATAAATAACTCGTCTAGAAGATTATGAAAAAGCATTAGTACCTCCTCGAACCGTAGATGGACCGAAACATACTTCCCATTATCCCTTGAGCTCTTTTCGATCATTCGGCTAACTAGTGAACGTGCAAAAGTCAGAATGGGAGACGAGAACCTTAGTGCTTCGTAATTTGCCAAGCATCTTAAGAATTGGATTTCGGGTGGAACGTTCATGGCCAATCTGTTGGCGAAAGGGGACAATCTTAATACCCTGCAGCAGAGTTTCCCTTAGTTCTCAGTCACAAGTAGAGAATAAAAGGCTTGAGGGGTAGCAAAATGATATTGATGAGTACCAAAATGATAATGATGAGTACCTTTCCCTTTGCAAAACAGGTAGAACTTCTCCCAAGTAATAGTTAGCAGTGGACAAAGCTTGTACATGAAAGTTAGGTATGTTAGAAATGTTGTAATCATATCCTTGCATTAAAGCCTCTGGTAGCTCTTTGACAACTTTCACATGACCGTCAAGGGCAGCTATGAAATGATCTTCATCATAAATATCACCGAACTTACTGAAAATATTTGAAAAAGAAGAAGAAAAATGAGGGAGGAGTTCAATATGTTCTAAGAACGTAGGTAGAACAAATTCATCACACTTGTAATGATTTCGAGTTATAAAACGTTTAACATAGCATTGTTACTTCTATTCTAGAATTTCGGGGGTGTTCTTCGAATTCAAACTTTGAATATTCAACGAGAACTTCAGGAATATACATGTAAATAACCATATAACTAGTTATTGTAGTGCACTAAAAGTTTGTGTTGTTTGTTCGGGCAAAACTTTACGTTCTAAGTTTACGTCTATAATCTTTCAGTTCTAAAAAATCCTGGGGGTGGAGTTCTGTAGCAGCCCAAGCCCACCATTGGCAAATATTGTCTTCTTTGGGCTTTCCCTTTCGAGCTTCCTCTCAAGGGTTTTAAAACGCGTATGCTAGGAAGAGGTTTCCACACCCTTATAAAGAATGTTTCGTTCTCTTCCCCAACCAATGGGGGATCTCACAATCCACCCCCTTCAGAGCCCAACATCCTTGTTGGCACTCGTTCCCTTCACCGAATAATGTGGGACCCCCCCAATGCACCCCCATTCGAGGCCCAGTGTCCTTGCTGGCACACCGCCTCGTGTCCACCCTCCTCTGGGGCTCAGCCTCCTTGCTGGCATATCACCCAGTGTTTGGCTCTGATACCATTTGTAACAGCTCAAGCCCACCACTAATAAATATTGTCTTCTTTGGGCTTTCCGTTTCGGACTTCCCCTCAAAGTTCTCCTCCCAACCGATGTGGGATCTCACAATCCACCCCCCTTCGAGGCCTAGCGTCCTCGCTAGCACTCATTCCCTTCTCCAATTGATGTGGGACCCCCCAATCCACCCCCTTTCAAGGCCCAGTGTCCTTACTAGCACACCGCCTCATATCCACCCCCTTTGGGGCTCAGCCTCCTTACTAGCACACCACCCGGTGCCTGGCTCTAATACCATTTATAATAGTCCAAGCCCACCGCTAGTAAATATTATCCTCTTTAAGCTTTCCCTTTCAAGCTTCCCCTCAAGGTTTTTAAAACGCGTAAGTTAGGAAAAGGTTTCCACACCCTTAAAAAGAATGCTCGGTTCTCCTCCCCAACCAACGTGGGATCACACAAGCTCTTAGTACTATGCAACAAAAACTCCATAACCATACCTTGAATCCTTCCAAACATTATGGAACTCAAACCGGGGAATAACTAGAATAGCATTTAGAAGCCCTGCAACAGCCACCGCATTGCAGATCTGCCAAACCAAGAACAAACATGAACATACAAACATGCCAATCAAATAATCGAAACTAAATACTTCGATGCAAGAATCATCAAGAACAAGTTAACAAAACAGTAAGCCATTCATTAGAAATATGAAAAAACACATACAGCAGAGCGTTGCTGGTTGAGTCCACCATTAGCATCAACAATCAAGTAAGTAGTAGCATCCTTATTGATCAACTCAGCAGCTTGCATACCCACATGCAGCTGAGAAGCTGTAGAATTCGAACATGGCTTCCTCTCTTTCAGCCTTTTATACTTCCAAACCGATGCCATCTGCAAGCAAAATCATACACATTTCAACAGAGTTACAGCAACACAGCACATGAACAAATCATTAAAAGTACAGCTCCAAATCCCCCAAGTTCTAAACGATTCCAGCATTTCAGTAAAAACCCAGAAAAAAAAATGGAGAAGAAGAGGATCGAACCTGAATCGCAGAGGAATTATCAGATTGAATATGACGCCGGAGCAAGTGATACATACGATGGCTACGATAGAGCGAGCCAGGCGGCGAGGGTTGACCGCCAAAAGAAGAGAAAGGGCCAACGCACATAATCAAACCAGAGATATAAAGCAGAGGAAGAAGCACCATATGTCTAAAACTAAACCTGAAATTGAACCCACCGACAAACAGTTCCCGGAACGGCTGATAATAATGGGGTTTCGACCGTAACTTCCGGCGACCCTTTGAAGCATAACGCGGCGGCGAATGAGGAGGACTCGGAGAGCTACTACCACTACTCTGTCCACCATCGCACGGGTAGTGAAGGGTTTTGGGTTTCATTTCAATGCGATTAAGAAAATGCTGCAACAGATTCACACACTCCTTCGAATCAGTGTCGGTTAAAGAAACAGAAAATGAAACAAACCCAAAACAGACAGATGAAATGGGCAATGTGGGGTAGTGGAGTGAGGCTGAACTGCATCAATGGTGGGCTAATGGGCGTCCCTGATTTCGGGAAAGTCCATTAGATAGAGAGAGAAATAAGAGAGAGAAACAAGAGAGAGAAAGTAGAGAGAGAAAGTGAGATTTGCAGAGAGAATTGCAGAGAAAAAAAGTGAGATTAGTGGAGACAGAGCAATAAGTAAGAGATACATTTTATATGATATCCAGTGGGCACTGAGTTTGACTGATTATTTTATTTATTTATTTATTTTAATATAAAGGGCATTTCCGTAATTTCCTCTTTTGTTTTTCCCAATTCCGTTACCCTTAACATATTCTTTAAATAACAAAGGGCATTTTTGGTAATTACGTACGTTTCTTTTCTTTTCCTCTCAAAAGCATCAATTTTCCCTATTTTTTTTCTCTTTTTTTTTTCTTTTTCCAATTCCAATAATTTTCCGTTTTTTTATATTTCCAACATCTCTCCCTTTCCCCCAAAATATTAATGTAATTATCATTTATTTCTAAATATTAATCTAACGGTCGAGATCCACCGTTAGTAGATATTGTCCTCGTCCACCATTAACAGATATTATCCTCTTTGGATTTTCCCTTTCAGGCTTACCCTCGCTTTAAAACGCGTCTACTAGAAGAAAGTTTCCACACCCTTCTAAACGGTAATTTGTTCTCCCGAACATCACAATTAATTAACCATTTAATATATAATAACTATAACATCAGAGGGAGAATGAACAAGATTTCTACTGGTTTATTATATTTTGTCCCAATTTATAGAAATTATATTAAAAAATAAAAATATATTCCCATGAAAATAAATAAGAAATTTTACGAGAATATGGAATGAAATAGAAGGTGGACGACCGGACAGGCGAGGCTTCCTTATTTTGGCTTGTCTCGTGAATATATCTAATTATGTCTTTAATTTTTAATTTTTTTTTTTTGCCTATAATGTTTTAATCAACCTTACTTTTAAATAAAATATATGTAAAAAAATCAATGTAAATTAAATATTATTTTGGGAAATGAATTTGTGGTAATTGGAACAAATTATAAAACTAATTTATGAATTTATTATAAAATTTTTTTATTTCAAATTTGAAATTTTAAAAGTTTATTCCGTTAATTGTCTTTTTCTTTATTTTCTAAAAAAGAAAAGGAAAAAAATTGATGTCGCTTTATCAGAAAAGTCAGATGGGTATTTCCATTTTTATCCTTTACGAAATTTTCTCTTTGTAAAGTATTTATTTAATTGTAATTAATAATTTTTAATTCATTTTTAATGCATTGACTAATGACATTCCCCCAATTGTCTATATTAGCTTAATTATTTATTTATTAGCTGAAATTAGTAATTTTTTAAATACCAATAATCGAATAAACGTGTTAGTCATAAAGTACTTTCTCTCTTTTATTACCCTTTATTCCATTTTTTAAGAAATTAAATTTTTTAATTTTAACTTTAAATTTAAAATTTCATACATTTGACTAACTGGCATTGTCAAACACAAACTATAAACGTTGGGTTTGGTTGACATTTGACATTTGTAACCGACTCATATAAATTTTATAATATTTTAATTACTGACAATTAATTAGTTTATTGGAAATGGATAAATATAAACTTTATTTATATAAACCATGTTATAACTCAATTATTACTCTAATGGTAAAAAAGGAAAGTATATTACCTATAGACACCGTTAACTCATATTACCATTTATAAAATTCACCCTCTTATTAACTTACTTTAAATGGGTAATATTTTGAGTTAATTTGTTTCGAGTTGGTTAGAGAATAAGAATATTCTAAAAAATGACAATAACACAATCATTGATAATAGTGCGATAAAAAATGTAATTATCCGAACACTTTCTATATTACTATATATATATTTAATTAGGTTGTAATTTAGTCGAAAAAATTGATGATTTAAATTTTATTTTGGAATTCAAATATTTAATTTATTAACTTTTAAACTTATTATATTAAATTAAAAAATAATAATAATTTGGTTAAAAATGAAAATTAGTATAAATGTAACATAAAAGTTATAAAAAAAATATATATATTTTTAAAGATATTAAGAAATTAAATATAAAATTTCAAATTTTAAATTTAGAAATCATGAGACATTTGAGCGATTTAAATAAAAATAAAATAAAATAAAAAGAAAATTGTGTATTAAATAAATAAATAAAAAAGGTGAAAAATAATTCAGTTAAATTATATGGAGGGAATTTAATTTGATAGTGGGACCGAAATAAAATTTCCAACACAATTATTAAATGATAATATGCCAAAGCCATCTGACAACTTCTGACATTTATTTTGCCACGTGTCCTCCCCTAACCATTTATAATATATATTTTAATAATTATTATATTTTGTATATTTAATAAAGTTGAGTTTTAAAACAAATGCAAATTAAGTAAATAAATAAAGGGTTGAAAAAGGTTAAAATTTAGTTTAAATTACAACATTTACAAGTACACTTGGATATAAATGAGAGGAATCTTTTACTATTTACCAATTATAATATAATAAAGAGAATACGGTAAAAAAATAAAAATTTAATTGATATAAATTCTAATGATTCGTAGACTATATTATTTACATTATTAATGTTAAAACCTAGATGTAGCATTATATATGGCTATCAATTATAATGTCCCTAGAGGGAGCACATGGTCAAATATGAATAAAATAATACTCCAATCTTAATGAAATATGCGGTTGAACCGAGTTCAAAATATATAATTGATAATTACTGTATATATTAATAAGGTGTACCGTTCTTTTTAATTTTTTAATCATGTGAGCTCAAAAGTTAAACGGGTTTTAGCTCGAAGCAATCTTATGTTAGATGACCCACTGATGATTTGTTTAGAAAAAATGTGAGCGGGGACAAAACGTTCTTAGTGAGATTTTTTTTAAGGAAAAATACGAAGAGCACTCATCTTGGGGTGGGCTTACTGCTTAGAGGCTTTCAGCAGTTATCCGCTCTGCACTTGGCTACCCAGTGTTTACTGTGGGTACGATAACTGGTACACTAGAGGTGCGTCATTTGCTGTCCTCTCATACTAGGAAAAGGTCCTCTCAATGCTCTAACGCCCACACCAGATATGGACTGAACTGTCTCATGATGTTTTGAACCCAGCTCACGTGTTGCTTTAATGGGTGAACAGCCCAATCCTTAGAACATACTACAGCCCCAGGTGGCGAAGAGCCGACATCGAGGTGCCAAACCTTCTCGTTGATGTAAGCTCTTGGGGAAGATCAGCCTATTATCCGTAAAGAAACTTTTATCCGTTGAGCGACGGCCCTTCCACTCGGCACTGTCAGATCACTAAGGTCGACTTTCGTCCTTGCTCGACGGGTGGGTCTTGCACTCAAACTCCCTTCTGCCTTTGCACTCGAGGGTCAATCTCCGTCTGGCCCGAGTAATAACAATCAATTTTGTAACAACTCAAGCTCACCGCTAGCGGATATTATCTTCTTTGGGCTTAATATCTGCTAGTAGTGCTTTTGAGCTGTTACAAAAGGTATCAGAGCCAGACATCAGGCACTGTACCATCAAGGACAATGGGCACCCAAAGGGGTGAATTGTGAAATCACATGTCGGTTGGAAAGGGAAACGAAACATTTGTTATAAGGACATGAAAATATCTCTCTAACAGATAGGTAATAGGTCAAAACCGACAATATATTACATAAATTTCTATTTTTGTTTTTTAATATTTTAAATGTTTCCGAAAAACAGGGAAAGAGGTGGGATTAAATTAGTGACTAAACATTCCGTATTAGGGAGGTTAATCATAAAAATTGAGTGAGTCCAAAGATAAAAGGAGAAACGGCGTGTGGTGCGTGACTGCCAGCTGTCCAAAAGGGTGTCAAGTAGCGTGACGTGTCGTGGAGGGGTATATTGGTCAAGTCGAGTAAAAATCGATCTGGATCTGGATCCAACGGCTATCACATGATCCAGGGATCCACCGTAACATGCTCATTTATAAGTCAACTTTCTCGTGGATCGCACTTCGGAAATGCTTCATTTACTCCTAAAATTTTTAATCAATCAATTTTATATTAAATTAAATTATTTTTTAATTATTCTATTATTACGATGTGATCTCAGTTTATTCATGTATTCTTTATTTCCTGTCGATGATTAAACTATAAATTAAATTTTTTTAATTTTCATGTAATTTATAAATTTTAAAAATACGAACTTTTAATTTTACGTGTAATAACACGTTTTCTTAAAATTATCGAATTTACTAAATAATATAATTCACGAGACATAAAATTAAACCGCTACATCCAATAGTTATTAAGAATGATTCTTTTAGCGATCTCATCGAGTAATTTTTCTATATAGAACACAACACTACGTGAAAAATAACTGAATTAAATAGAAATATTTTTATTAATAAGGAATTGACATAATATTTGTATAACATTGAATGATATATATATATATATATATATATGTTAAGATCACTATCCAACGACATGTAAACGCAATGGAAAACACAACTTGTCTAAAAAAACATTAAGTCAATAGTTTGAAAGGGATTGAGGGTTGTTGGAGTGGGGTGTAAACGAATTAAATAACGGGAAAAAACCCGATCCTTCTAAACCGTGCCCCGTACGATTTGGATTGGATTGAATTAGGTTCAAATAAATGAAAACTTTATGGTTAGATTGGTTCGTGTGTTACTCTTAAACTAGATTAGATTAGATTAAACAGAACAGTTTAGTTATAAATAAATATTTTACGAACTAACAATTTACTTTTATTAAAAATAAAATATTTTTAATAAAGAACGGGAACAACCCCATCTTGAAAAATCTATGGTTGGGTTGGGTTGAGTTGGGTTCATTATTTAATAAAAATTATTTATATTGAAAAAATTTAGAACCGAGCAATTGGGTTTGATCTAAAAAATGTCATAACCCGATTCAATTGAACCAACCCAATTCATCCTACAAACATCTGTAATGACGGGAGAAAAATTCTTAATTATTCGAGTTTATTTAAATAGAAATTGAATGTGTGTAAATTATAGAAAAGTCTAAAAGGCAATGCCATTGAAATTGGAAAGATACAAAAAAAAACAAAAAACACATAGATT